AAGAGCATACTGAAACAGTTACTGACATCTGCCCCTCTCCTGGACAATACTGACATTTGTCACTCCTGTTGTATGTCCACTTTGTTACTGAAAAAGTAGGAAAAGACAAAAGGTTTTGTCTTGAGACAGAAAGGGAGAAATAGAAGACAACTACAGAAATTTTAAGAAGATTAAAAAAAAAACCACCTGAAAATCCCCTGCAGAAATTATTCTGATTGGTGTTTTTTTAATTATTATTTCTGATGATACACAGGATGACTGACTGGGAGTAAGATGGGAATCTACATTGAAGTCTTTTTGGCTGTGTAAATATAACCCTTGACAGATGGGCAGATTGTATGTGGACATCTGTGCAGCATGGTAAATGATATTTCAATAAACTAAAAGATTTCTTGGACTTCCAGCCCAACTTCCTCTGATAATAACATCAAATGGCCGCAAGGAGTAAGATTTTTGTGGAGCAGAATTTTAAGTGCTCATTACCATTTCTGAGAGTGCACCTAGACATTTTAAGAATCTAATTTGGGAGGATAACAGATGGTTAAATAGCTGAACAGCCTAGATTTCATCTGCAAAATGGTGGGTCTGAAAACAAAAACACATTAGAGACTCAGAGAATATTTAGCTCAATAGGAACTGCAGTCACTTCAGGGAACTCTGAAGATAAATGACAACGGAAATAAATTAGTCAAGCTTCTTCACAGAACAAACAGACTGAAAGAAATTAATTTTCCACATATAAAAATGGCTCTTTTTTGGACCAGATTCCATAATAGAAACAGCTGGAAATATACTGATGAAAATGAGAATTAAAGGAATTTTAGTGGGAGAAAACAGCTTTGTTCCTTTGGGGTTTTTTTGTTTGGTTGGGGTTTTTGTGTGTGGTTTCTGTTGTTTGGTTGGTTGGTTGGTTTTAACCTGGGTAAAGCTATGAAGAGATTCAGCTATGCAGGTATTATCTCACAGTTATCTCTGTTATTACTGCTTTGGGCTAGTATGATATTTCTTGGCATCACTTCTAGCTTTTCTTCTGGGAGTATCCTCGTTTAATGGTGGTTTTTGTTGGGTGGCCCACAATGATTCATAACAGAGAATTTGAGAAAATTCTCCTGACTGACACCACAGAATAGTCCTTATCTGCAAATCAGAAAATGCTAAGCTAAGAAACCAAGCCTTCCAGATGGATATACAGTTTGTATTGCAAAAAGACCTGTTTTAATTATGTTTATACTAGCTATTCAAACACAATGAACTATACTAACAACAGGACCTTTGCTGGCACTGCTGCCTTTGCTGGCACTGCCAGCATTATTTGGGAAGTAATACCCTCGTCTCCACCCAACACATGCAGCTGTGCCTTAAAACTCAGAAATGTAGACCTGGCCTAGAGAGCTAACAGCAAACTTCTCTGTAACAGCCAGAAAGGGGAGAATAGACTCCATAAAGCTAAGTATCAAAATATAGTAGCTTAAATTTCAAAGTTCCTACATTTATTTTTGCAGGCTTGATTGTTTCGAGTAGGACATTTGCTTTCACTAAGGCCCATAATGCCTTTTAAATATAATGTGTGGAAGGCTGGTGATATAAAATCCTTGTTAGTCCACTTGCTTTACTATGGAGACTGTTATGGTTGCTGTTTGCCACAGAGATACTAAGCCAGCTTTTAGTAAGTTCCTTTGAATTGCTGAAGCATCACGGAGCTGAAGTCATCTTACCCAACAAGGGTACCCAGGAAGTCTCTTGCAAAGTTGTGTCATCAGGCATATGCACATTTAAGGTTCACAAACTTTTGCCAGTGTTAGTTTTCTGAAAATGTGATCCCAATACCGAGTCACTAAGATGCAGACAGCAGCGTCTTTTGCCTATGATTTAATTTGTGACCTAAATGCTAAACAGATCCATCACCCTGAGCTGACTGACCACAAGGGTCTGAGGTCCCGCAGTTTTTGAGGAGGATTTTAGAGGAATAAGGCTGGGTTCTGCAGGTGTACGTTACCTGTTTGTCATTACGACTGTAGTCAGAAGTTTTCTGACAAAAGGCTACCATGGTATCACTCTTCAATTTTTAATCTCCATAAGCAGGCTCAGTCCTGCACTGCATCCATACGAACACAGCTTGCGGCCATTAAAATGACACACATTTAAATAAGACAGCATGAATACGGCTAAATGAGAGTCAGCTTATGCAGCAAACCAAATGAACTTCTCAGGCATCTAATACACATTGTCTAGTATTAAAAATGAAGCTAAGATTCATGAGAAATTGCATCTATATGTGTAAATGCATGTGTGTGGATATACATCTTAAATGCATACATGCATATGTGTTAGCTAAATCCTTTCGTCACTAACAGGATTAAATTAATGAGGTTTGAGTGAATTGTTAGCAGTCATATGGTTGGGATGAGATTACCTGTGTTACAAATAAATTAGAAGCAACTAACTTAAAATGTGAGAGGAAAAATAAGTTGATTTTACATTAAAAAGAACAAAAACTATTTCTACAGTGTCATTAAATAAGGATTGTTTTGTGAATACAATGAGCTTAAAACATTATGAAACT